TTTTTTTTTTTGGTTAGGCCACACTTCTCCTTCCACATTCTTACTTTTGGTCTGATCGCTGAGTCCACACTGGCCTTGCCCTCAGGCCGGTGCCAGTTTAGTCACTGATTTGTTTGTCATTCAGTCAGTCATGTCTATGGTTTCTCAAGTGTCTCCTGTGGGCCACCTTTTGTTCTAGGCCCGTGGGATACAGCAGCCTAGGCCTAAAAAGCCCACGTAAAAGCCCTGAAGAAGGACCATGCCTGGTGTGGTGGATGAACAGGGAGGAGGCCCGTGTGGCTGGAGCAGAGTGAGCGGGGAGGAGAGAGAGAGGAGCGGGGCAGGCTGAGAAGAGGTTTGCGGGCCAGGGGAGGACTTGGGTTCTTACCCCTGGGAGCCCAGGATGGCTGTGGGCAGAGCAGAGAGGGACCTGACTCAGATGCTCACAGGCGCCCTCTGGTGGTTGCTGTGAGAACAGACTGGGGGGCAAGGGCTGAGGCGAGACTGTTGGTCCAGGGGGGCGATGATGGGGTTGAGAAGAGTGGGGAGCACATTCTGGACAGACTAAAGGTAGAGCCTAGTGCTGAAGGACATATGTTAAGGTCCCCTCTCAGGGCCCTAGGGACCCACAGTCCTTTGGCAGCTGTCGCTGCCTTGGTCTCCACATCAAACAAATGTGGAGAAGCAGCTCCTGCTGAGGCTTGTGTGTATGCAGAGGGGAGAGAACTGCTTCTGTCCCTCCATCTGTCTGTCCCCCCATCTGTCAAAGGTCAATGAGCATCAAGGTGTCTGCTAATGGACCCGCAGGCTTCGAGGCTGTGCCCCCAGGGAGACCGGGCTGCGAGGGGGTGTCCTCCCCGCCCTCCAGGTCAGGCTCTTCCCCTCCTCCAGGCTGGTTTTAAAAATTAATCCTTTGAATAAATGGGTGGCTCCTTCAGAATATGACTGGTCTCGTCTTGGGCTGGGAGGAGCCCCACAGCTGGTATGGTCTCTGCCACCCCAGCCTGGCCCAGCCAGTGTGTGGGGGCACCTCCTGCAGCTGTGTGCCCCTGGGCCGCTGCCCTTTTCTGAAGACTGTGGAGGCTGAGTGGCAGGGTGGCCGCCCTTCCCTCACAGGCATTGTGCTGCGCTGGGGCAGAGGATGAGGTTAAAAGAGGAATTTCAGAGCCCGGTGGGGGCCTGCAGATGGCAGAACTGGGGAGTGTAGCCTGAGTGACAGGACAGGGGGTGACTAGGGTGACTGCTCTGAGAAGAGGCAGGACTGAGACTGGAGGCTGAGGGGCCGGTCTCAGAAGATGGGCAGAGCGTGTGTTGGGCAGAGGGAATGGCACGTGCCAAGGCCCTGAGGGGAGTGTATGCGTCTGTTCCCTGCACCGGCCCCACAGGCCCACAAGAATGCTGACGCCTTGGGTTGGTGGGGAGCAGGAGGACGTAGGGGGTGTGGTTTGTGGAGGAGGCTGGGACCTCAGCGCTGAGCCTGCTCTGGCAGCGGCCCTGGTATGAAGCCTGAAGCTGCAGAAGACTCAGGTGGTCACTACTGGGTAGGCTGTGGGCCCAGGGGCCCCCTAGACGTGGTCTAGATGTTCCTCCCTGGTCCGCCACTGGCTTCCTGCCTTTTCTCCTCTTCCTTCCCCATACCCCAAATGCAAAACCATGAATTGTTCTGCTGTTGGGTGGCCAATGAAAATATTATGTCAGCTTTCCAGTACCTTCTGGCCCCCTCTTGCCACCGGCTGGGCCTTGGGATGTGCCAAAGCCCAGATTCGTCCCTGGAGCTAGGATGCCGGGGCAGGGAGCCTCAGACGCCTGTCAGGGAGCACCCAGGGTCTGCGCAGTGCCCATATGGCTGGTGTATCCTGGTCCAGCTGCCCCTCCTGGTGCCCTGGGTGGTGATTCTGTCTGTTCGCTGTGTCCTACAAGCCAGGGTCCCCTCTGGTGGGCCCTGCAGCCATGACCTTAGCCTCAGCCAGGTGCCCCCACCCAACCTCAGTTTCCCCATCTGGACTCTGGCCTGTAGGGGATTTTTTTAACCTTTCAAGCTTTTATTTAAGGGCAATGATCCAGGATGGACTTTAGATCTTGTCGAAAGCACCCACGTCCATGGGCTGCATATAGTCCTCAAAAACGGTGGCCCGCTCCCCCAGCACATCTGTCCCAACGTTACTGTCTTCCACCAAGAGCGCTGTACTTGGAGTTTTTAAATTCCATGCCCCAGTGGAACCAGGTTAGAAGAGCCCCAGACCAGGCCATCTGCTTGAATGCTCCTGACGCACTCCTCTGATTCCACCACGTCCGTCTCGCCATCCCCAGGTTTCACACCCAGGAAGAGGGAAGGCTTGGCAACAAGTGTGGGTTTTGGGCTTTCTTTGACTCACACTGTGCAAGACGTTCTTCTCTTAGCTTTCTAGCTTCTTCACTTTCCTCCTCCTCCTCAGATCCAGAGAGATCAGTGTCGTCATCATCCTCACCATCTGCAGCTCCACGTCCTGTGGTGTCTTCCACGTCAGCAGGGCTGCGCTTGCCCAGAGCTCTCCTCACTCCAGGCAGGCTGGCTGGCCAGCCTCCCAGGGGTCTCAGCGCCTGCTTCACGCACAGGCGGGAACTCCGCCTGGTAGCTGGGTGGTGGTCAAGGCTGAAAGAGGACGTGGGTCCCCACCCTGCTGGCCTGGTTGTGCCTGTGGCTGTGTTGTCTCGGGTTTGTTTCATGTTTATTTAAGTCCTCATCCGAGGACATGCATATTGATCTTAGGGAGATGGGAAGGGAGGGAGAGAAACATCAGTGTGTGAGAGAGAAACACTGATTAGTTGCCTCTCGTACATGCCCAGATGAGGGATGGAACCTGCAACCTAGGCATGTGCTCGACCGGAATTGAACCCATGACCTGTTTACGAGGTGATGCTCAGTCAAGCATACTGAGCTGTACTGGCCAGGGCTTAGATTTTTCTTGTTGAGAGATCATTCACATACCATAAAAGTCACACTTTATAAGTGTACAGTTCAGCACTTTTCATATCTTCAGAATGTTGTGCAACTGTCAGTTATTGGAATAGAGAGGTCCTGCCTCTGTGGGGGGAGATGGACCCCTGACGGCTCACCTGGGCCTGCCTCTCTCCGGGGGCCCCTCGGGTTCCCTCTGTCTGACCCTCACCCTTCCTGGCGGCCTGTCCACCCTCCGAGTTCCATCCCCATCTTCTGCTGTCCTGTCCCCAGCTGGGGCTGCCCTGCGCTCCAGACTTGGGGTCCAGCTGCCCCGGACATCTCCCTGCGGAGGACTCACAGGGGTCTCACAGTCAACATAGTCACAACACACCGAACCTTTCCCCCAGACCTGCCACTGCCCATCCCCCACCTCAGCTGGCCGCGCTTCTTCCTTCTGTTAATTGCTCCAGCCATAAATCCTTAGTCATTTCTGACTTTGCTGTTCTTCACTCCGCCTCCGGTGAGCACAGCCTGTCCTAACTTTAGATCTTTCCAGAATCTGCCTGTTTCTCCCCACTTCTAAACCCCCTCATTAACTTGGTCCACCTCATTAACTCCCAGTTAGACCAGGCAGGCCTTCTTGCCCAGCCCGGTCCCCTGGCGCCCGCCCTCCCTGCCCCCACCTCCACAGTCTGTCATCCCCGCAGAAAACACCAGAGGGCGCCTGTTAGCACCTACGTCAGGGCCAAGTCCACCCTCTGCCCACAGCCTTCCAAGGCTGCTGAGACCTCTCCTGATAATCTGCACCCAACTTGTTCTTCTCACACTCACCCTACTGTACAGGCCCCTCTATGCCACACCCCCCCCATTCCTTTTGAGCCCTTGAGGGCAGGGGCCAGGTCTGTTACGGTCATCACTTGCTTCCCTGCAGGTTGACTCCTCTTGAATGAGTTTCTTGTTGCAGCTGAAACATTACTGCAAAGTTGGCTTAAAACCACACACAGTTACGCTCTGACAGTTTTGGGGTCAGGAGTCCAACATGGGTCCCACTGGACTAAACCCACGTGTGGGCAGAACTGGTCCTTCATGTGGCTCCAGGGAAAACCATTTCCAGCCTTTTCCAGCTTCTAGAGGCGCTGCATCCTTATTTGTGCCCTTCCTCCATTATCACAACCAGTGCTGCAGCCTCATCCATCTCTGACTCAGACCTGCCTCCCTCCCTCTTATGAGGACCCTGTGAGGACACTGGCACCCCAGGGAATCTAGGGTCACCCCCATCCCAGCACCCTTAACTCAGTTTCATCTGCAAAGCCAGTTCTGAGATCAGAATGTAGACACCTTTTGGGAGGAGGGGGCAGATCTGCTGACCACCCCCACTGAACAGATAATCCTCAGCAGAAGCCACTTTCCCAGTGAGGACACTGGAGCCCAGAGAGGTCAGTGGTGGGCCTGAGGCCTCCTGCTGGGAGCCAGGGCCGGGAGGATGGTCCTGAAGGGAGAAAGTCGCCCACCTTCTCACCACAAGCTTCCCTATGTCGGGGAAGCTCTCCTGGGGCTGTGGTGAGAGGGACCAAGTCCTTGGTGGGTTTTCCAGAGCGGGCAGCATTGCTCCAGCCTGGGTCCCTGGCCACTGCCTGCTGACCAGCTCCCCTGGGCCCTCCCCCAACACCACCCCGACCTCGACCCTCTGGGTCACCTGATTTCTTCACGGCCAAAGTGTGTCCTGATTAAGCCCTGCCCCTGCCAGCAGAGAAAGATGGCACTTTGTAAATTCGAAGTCACTTTGGGGAAAATGGTGGGTCAGAGTTGAGGGCTGGCCTCTCCCTGCTGTTCCCACCTGGAGGGGTGCCAGCAGCCAGTCCTGCCATCTTCAGTCTGTCTCGTCTGCACGCTCCCATTTCCCACGGCAGAGTCTTGTGACCCTTCCTAGGGACACAGAGCACCCAGTGAGGTGGTAGGTGCCTGTGTGTGAGGGAAGGAGTTGCTGACAGCAGCCCAAGCCCCCTTGGAGCCCCTGGCGTGGGCCGGTGCGGGTTGGTGGGCTAGGCCCTGTGGTTTGCACTCCTTGCTGCCAGTCTGAAGTCTCTCTTCTCTCCCTCAGGTTTGACCCAGAAAAAGATGGCCCTGACTGAGGTGAGTGTCCTGTGGGCCCTACCCTCCCTGACCTGCCTCCTCCAGCAGACAGATGAGGAAGCGTCCAGTCCTGCTTGGGTCCTGCTCTGTGGCATTGGGCAACTCACTGTCCTTCTCTGGGCCCCAAATGATGGCAAATGTGAGATGGGTGAAAATCCCTCCCCCCGCCCCCTGGCCAGTGTCTGGAGTGTCAGGGAGGGATGTAGGAGGGGGAAGGAAGAGCTAGCTAGCCCTAGGCCAGCGAGGGAGATGGGGAGGGGAGTTGGGCAGGTGCAGTCCCTGAGGAGGAGGGGTCCTACCAGGGGGGCCATGTTCTTAGGTACCCCACCTAGGAGCGCCAGGTCCCTTTCATTCCCACACCTGCCAGCCCACTGTCTTTACCTTCTCCCAGCCATGTTTCTAAAGGGCTTCCCCTGGCGACGGTCACTCTCATGCATGCCCACCACCACGCTGCCCTGTGGGCCCTGCTGCTTGTCCTCAGCCAAGCTGATGCACGTGGGGTCACCACTGTCCCTGGTTAGAGTTTCCTGTCATTCCTGAAGGTGACCTGTGAGGGGCGTGTCTGAGCTCTGTTTTGTAGGAGGAGCAGCCCAAGTGGTTGCAGGAGTCCCACCTGGGCATCCTGTGTCCCCTCAAAGCCTGGTCTCCGATCCCAGAATGCCACCTGCCATGTGGGTCCTTCTAAGGAGGGCTTTGCCCACCTCCTGGGGCCCTGCGGGCACTCAGGCTACAGGGCAGTGGGAGGGAGGTGGGTGCGCCCAGGCACACCAAGGGCGATAGGGAGCCAGTGAGAGGTGTGGAGAAAGGACAGCAAGAAAAGTTCACTGAGGGGGCCCTGCCCCCTGGTGGCCAGTGTGCAGAAGACATGGGAGCCAAGCTGAGGAATGAAGGCAGATGAGGGCCACTTAAGGGCTGCCTGGGAACCCGTGAGGAGGCAGTGAAGGTCCGGCTGGTGGCCAGAGGGCTGTGTGGGATTTTTAATGGTGGCAGATACACAGTGGGTCCTTCTTAAATGTCAGCAATGGGTGGAGCCACCAGAGGGGCACTCAGTTCCTGTGTGCTGGCTGGCTTTGGCTCTATTCTAAGCTGGCTTCTGTGTCCCTCCAGGCTCCCGTGGCCCCTCCTACCATTCTCCTCTAGTGACATCACACATAAAGGCCAGTGGCTTCCACAGGAATTTGTTGGAATGGCTCATGCCACACCTGCCACAGCTGTTCCCTAGAGCTTGTGGGACATGGGCTGGCTCCCAGGCCAGTGGGACCTGGGAGGCGATGCTGTTTGTAATCATTTCAGCCCAGAGGACTGTTCTCCCAGGGGACACTGGGACATATCTTGGCACATCTGTGCTTGTCCCACTGTGGTTGCTTCTGGCATGGAATGGGTTGGGGCCAGGGATGCTGCTCAACCCCCCACAGCGCACAGGAAGGCCCCCCACAGAGGACGACCTGGCTCCAGTGTCAGCAGTGCTGGAGGGAAGACCCTAAAACTGGGGCTGGGTGGTTGGGGCAGCTGGCTTCCAGCCTTCTTGAGGAACTGGGGGTCCTGGTCTAGGTGTGGGCCCTTACAGGCGTTAGGTGGCGTCCGCCGGATGTACAGCCTGCCCACGCAGCTTTGTGTTCCCCTCCCGCCCCACACAGCCCAGCCCTGGGCTCCAGCTGGGCACAGTGACTAAGCGCCTCTCTTGCCAGGATTTCTAAAGTGTGTTATGGCCTTGGTGGCTCCTGCTTGCTGACTTTTAATGCTTCCTGTTTTTTCTTTTCTCTAGGCCCCGATGATGACCGGACAGCTGGGCCCTGGTCACGGGAGGAAGCTGGGCCATCGGGGTGTGGACGCATCTGGTGAAACCACTTACAAAAAGGTTTCTCTCCGCCCTTAACTGGCTGGGACAGAGTGAAAGGGGCTTTTAGCAGTGCTGGGGACCTCTCTGACCCCCATGTGCACACACTGTGTTCACTAAAGGCCAGGCATGGGCCACGGCCACACTCCCGTCATAGGCTTGTCTATGCAGGACCCTCGGGTCTGGCGAGGTCCCTGCTGCCTGTTATCATCTCAGGTAGTGGAGTGACGTGTGCTGAGGTTCCGTAGGCTACATGGCCTGCCTGGCTCTAGGAGTCACCTGTGACCTTGGATGAGCCCTCAGTTCCCTGCTCTGCTGGCTCATCTAAAGGCAGAGGAAATTACAGCTCCCCTTCTCTTCCTTGGAAAGCGGGTCTGAGATGAGGCAGGCCCAGCCAGGGGCGTGGACAGGGTGCCTGGCCCTCCCGCCGTTCGTCCTGCCTTTCTCAGCCCTTCCTGGTGCAGCAGCTTTGCCGAGAGAGCACGCACACTGTGTCAGCTCCCCTTCCTGAAGTGCACAGTCCAGCGCTTTCCAGGGTGTCCGCCGAGTTGTGTGGCCATCCCATAGTCAACTTTAGACTATTTTTATCTCCCCAAAACAATACCCTGCCCCCATCAGCAGTCACTCCCTGTCCCCCTCCCTGGTCCCAGCAAACACGAACCTACTTCCCGTCTCTGTGGATGTGCCTGTTCTGGAAGTTTCACATAAGTGGAATCACACACAGTGTGGCCTTTGTCTCCGGCGTCTCTCACTGAGCATCACGAGCCCCAGGTCCATCCACGCTGTAGTGAGCGTCAGAGCTTTGCTCCTTTTCATGGCTAAGTGGTGGTCCGTGTGTGGGTGTGTGGACACCTGGGTTGTTTCCACTTTGGGGCTCTTATGAATCATGCTGCTGTGAAAATTCGTGTGCAGGTTTTTGTAGATGTGCTCTTACCTCTTTGGGGCACACACCTAGCAGTGGAGTTGTGGGTCACACGGAAACTCTGTGTAACCATTTGAGGAACTGTTTCCTGCAGTGGCTGCCCCATTGCCCATTTCCACCAGCCGTGCACGAGTTTTCCAGCTTCTCCCGTCCTCGCCAGCACATGTCTGTGGTTTTAATCACACCCATCCTGGTGTGAGTGATGTGGTATCTCAGTGTGGCTTTGATTTGCATTTTCCTGATGGCTGATGGCGGTCAGCACCTTCTCTTGTGCTCACTGGCCATTTGTGTGTCTCCCCTGGAGAGCTGCGTGCTCAGTGGTGTGAGGGAGTTGAGTGGAGGGCGGGTAGCAGGCCCTCCCAGGGAGGGGTTCAGAAGAGGCGGCTGCAGGCTGTGAGGCCCTCACACAGGAGCTCGGGTTTGCTTGGGGCCAGAGGCTCACTCTGCCCCCCATGCACCCAGATGGGGTGCCGGGGCCCAGAGTTGGAGACTGAGGGCTGAGGCACCATCCCACGGCGGGGTGCATGCCCTTAGAGCCCTCACAGTGATAGCGTGCACCCCGGCAGTGGGAGGAGTGCAGACAGCAGGTGCTCCTCAGATGCGGGCAGCCTCGGGTCCAGCCACCAGTGTGAGCTGGCACATGGTCATCTCCAGTCCTGGCTACTGGTGGGGAAACTGAGGCACAGGGGGGCATGGTTGCTCTCTGGCCATGACAGTGTGAGCCACCTCGAAAGTGGGCAGAAGGAACCCAGGTTTGTGGAAACGAAGTTCAGGGGTCACTCTTTAAGTTGTGTCTCCCCAACCCCAAAAAACCCTGATGGCAGACAGACTCCTGTTGCATCAGGGCAGTTTCGAGATGGTGGAATGTTCTAGAACCTTGACTGAAAATTGGCCTTGGAGTCACACGAGGTGGTGCTGAACTCTCGGACAAGCCACTTCTTTGCTGTGTGGTTGTGTAGGCCAAGCGCCTACCTGAGGCCTGAAAATCCGTGCCAAGTGCTAGTTGGCACCCTGGGGCCCAGGGTGGGGGTAGGGGCTGGCCCACGGGCAGGTCTTGAAGAGTCTTCATTTCCCCACAGACCACGTCTTCCACCCTGAAGGGGGCCATCCAGCTGGGCATTGGCTACACTGTGGGCAACCTGAGCTCCAAGCCAGAGCGCGACGTGCTCATGCAGGACTTCTACGTCGTGGAGAGCATCTTCTTCCCCAGGTAGGCCCAGCTCCCACGCCCCCAGCACATCGCCTGGCAGACGCACCACTGTCATGCAGGACAGCCTTCCCTTCTCTGCGGCAAACAGCGCAGGCCTCTGCTGGTATCTACATGACTTTGAGGCCTGACTCGGGGTCTGTTAGGATATTAATGTGCTGCTGAATCAGAGAGAGCCAGTGTAATAGTGAGTTTAAAGAAAATAGGGGGAAAAGAGATAGAAGTTTGTTCTTCTCTCTTTCTCTCACACAGAGAAGCTGGTAGGCAGTCCTGGGCTGATCCCGGGGCCCCGGGTTCCTTCTGGTTGCTCCACTGCCCTCACTGTGCATCTGTTCTAACAATAGTCCCAGGCTGCCCAGGCTCCTGCCATTACGCCTGCATGTCAGTAGCAGGGAGGAGAAGGGGAAGGGGAGTCCGTTCCCTTCTCCTTTGGGGCACGACCAGGAAATGACACATGTTGTTTCTGCTCCACTCACAGCTCACTGGTCGGGTACAATCACTTGACCACACCTAGCTGCAAGAGAGGCTGGGCAGAGGTCTTACTCCAGGTGGTCATGTGCTCAGCCAACATTGTGGACTCTGTTGCTAATGAAGGAAGGGAGAGTGGCTACTGGGAGCCACAGCCTTTGGTCCCATTAGGAATCTCAAGTTGCCTTGCGAATCAGCCACTCAGGGAAGGCTGCAGAGCTCAGCGTGAAGAGGCAGCATCTGTTACAGGCTTTCCTCCCTCCTTCCTCCACAGCGAAGGCAGCAACCTCACTCCCGCCCACCACTTCCAGGACTTCAGGTTCAAAACTTATGCACCTGTCGCCTTCCGCTACTTCCGGGAACTCTTTGGGATCCGGCCAGATGATTACTTGGTAATTGTGTTAGTCGGTTGTTGCTTTATAACAAGTTAGCACAGACTCACGGGCTCAAACACCACCTGGCTATAACCTCGCAGTCTCTGTGGAGCAAGAATTGGGTCAGCCCTGACTGGCTCAGTGGGTTGGGTGTCGTCCCACAATGCGAAAGGTCTCTGGTTTGATTCCCAGCAGGGCACACGCCTGTGTTATGGGTGCAGTCCTGGTCAGGGTGTGTATCAGAGGCAACCAATGATGTTTCTCTACCTCTCCTCCCTCCCTGCCCCTCTCTCTAAAAATAAATAGATAAATAAGATCTTTTTAAAAATACTTAAAAAGAACTGGGTATAGTTTAGCCAGGTTCTTTACTCAGGGTTGTAATCAAGAGGCAGGCAGCAGCCAGGGGCTCACATAAGACTAGACTGGGGAAGGGCCCAAACCCAAGCTCCCGTTGTCGTTGGCAGACTCAGTTCCTTGCCGACTGTAGGTTGGGGCCTCCTCTCCTTCCACACGGGAGGGAGGGGGACAGCCTGCCAGCAAAGCAGACGTTGCCGTCTCCTGTGAGCTCATCACAGATGGGACCTGCCCAACCCACTCACCACCCCCTTCCAGTACTCGCTGTGCAACGAGCCACTGATCGAGCTCTCCAACCCCGGCGCCAGCGGCTCCCTCTTCTACGTCACCAGCGATGATGAGTTCATCATCAAGACCGTGATGCACAAGGAGGCAGAGTTCCTGCAGAAGCTGCTGCCCGGCTACTACATGGTAGGGGTCACGGGTTCCTGGAATGTACCAGAGGTGGGGGCAGTGTCCTGGGCTTCTCTCCAGCCCCCGTCTACCCCCCCATCCTCATGGCCCTCCTGCTCCCAGCACATTTCGCTCTGCTGCTTTCCACAGACATGCAGGAGCACAGGCTTCAGGGCCCGGCAGACAAGTCCCCAAGATTCCTGGGGCACCCCCCCCCCGCCAGATGGCCATGAGAAGTCTTCCCTTGACCATGGGGCCTCACCCCACAGTCCTCTCTGGGTGGTGCCCCCACACTTGTAGCAGGAATCGCTGTTTAGGCCCTGGCTCGCCACCCTCCACCCCGCTGACGTCCCTTAGTCATGGGTCTAGAAATCGTGGCTTATGGGCTGAGTATCTCGGCACTTGGTGACTCAGAGGCACAGGAGAAGAGGGACTAGACTACCAGCTGGCACCTCAGAAAGGACCGGCTGCTCGGGCACCCCCATTCTGATGTGACTCAGGACTCAAAAGGGCACATCAGGCCCCCGGGCAGGGGTGGGAGTGGGGGTCTTTATACTCAGCTGCCCCACCTGAGCTCCGTCTACCTCAAGGGGCCCAACCTGGTGGGCGTGGGGTTGGGCCCCTCTGGGTGCCCTGCCCAGGTTGTGGCCGTCTCCGCTTAGAGTGCTCCTCATCCACTGTGTGTGATCGCGGGAGGACCTAGCTCCCCGGGATCAGGGGTCAGCAGACTTCCTGTACAGAGCCAGTCAGCTCCAAGGGGACAGGCTGTCCTCGCAGCTCAGCCCCGCCACTGTAGCGGATGCGCAGATGGCACTGGGGCCGGGTGGGCCAGGGGCCAGCCAAGCTTCATCTGTGGGCACTGAAACGTGAATTTGTTGACATTTTCACGTGTCACACATGCTATTTTTCTTGTTTTGTTTTTTTTAACTTCCTCAACATGAAACCATTCTTAGTGTGAGAACAAGCAGCTGGAAGGAGTTGGTGCTTAGGCTGGAGTTTGCCAACCCCTGCCCTGGACATGCCCGGAGGCCTTTCCCCACATGTCCCCCCAGGGTGGGCTGGAGAAGAGGGACATCTGGTCTGATGTGGCAGGAGTTGGACCCAGACACCTCGGGAGTGTCCCACAGAGTTCTTTATAGAAAGGCCACGACTCTGGGCCTGGCTCTGTAGAGATAGAACCTCCTGGAGAATCAGGATTGAGCTGGTGTCCAGTGGGGTGCTGGGGAGGGGACGGTTGGGGGACCCTCCTGTGGAGGAGGCCTCTGGCCTGAGATCTGAGTGGCTGCATTCAAGGCCAGAGGGTGTGGGGATGGCTCTCAGGCACGGCCTGGCGCTCTGGCTGCTGCCCGCTGACCTGCTCCCTGCTCCCCCCCAGAACCTCAACCAGAACCCGCGGACGCTGCTGCCCAAGTTCTACGGGCTGTACTGCGTGCAGTCGGGAGGCAAGAACATCCGTGTGGTGGTCATGAACAACATCCTGCCACGCATGGTCAAGATGCACCTCAAGTTCGACCTCAAGGGCTCCACATACAAGCGGCGGGCTAGCAAGAAAGAACGGGAAAAGAGCAGCCCCACCTACAAGGACTTGGACTTCATCCAGGACATGCCGGAGGGGCTCCTGCTCGACGCCGACACCTTCTCTGCGCTCGTCAAGACGCTGCAGCGGGACTGTCTGGTGAGCCTCTGGCGCCAGCCCCACTGCACAGAGGGGCGAGTGCAGCCAGTTAAGGGCTGGGCTGCTGGGGGCGCTCCCCTCTCCGAGCCTCAGTTTTCCCCTCGAACTGGGGCACTGGTGAAAGCTAGTGCAGCCCGGCCCTGGGTTCCCTCCTGCTCCCTTGTCCCTGTGTCCTGTGGCGGCTGTGCTCCTGCTGTAGAGCCCAGACCCGCGGAGGCAGCCCAGCACTCTCGTGGCCCTGAACTTAAAGGGTGCCTCAGGTTCCGAGCCCGCTGCCCCCCCTCACAGCGCACGCCAGCTCCGTGCGGCCCTCTTCCATGGTTAGGTGAGTTTAGCGGCGAAGCGCTTCACCAGGCTCTTCACTGGCCCCTGCAGCCTGGAAGGTCGGGCCACTCTCCTCTCTAGAGATGAGGAAGCAGAGGCCTGGCCAGGGGTGTCCCTGCACTGGGTCCCCAACCTGCTGGGCTTGTGTGGGTCTCTGGCCCTTCAGTCCACTGTCCTCAGCTCTCAGACTCCTTGGAAAACTTGACACAGTGTCACCAGAAAACTGCTTACACGTCTCAGGGCCTTTCGGCTTCTGGGAGCTCATCCCTGGAACCCAGGTGGTCTTGGGCCTGGGCTCCACCATGGGGCACCCAGGCTCCTCCGCTGGTGCCAGGGAAGTAGGAGTGCAGAGCCAGCTGCTCTGTCTTGGGGGAGGAAACCTGTCCTGTCCCCAAGAGGCAGCTTGGCCTAGAGTGACACACCGTACTCCAGGCCACCCTGTAAGAGCCGGTCCCAGTTCTGCCCCCATCTACCTGCCGCACAGCCTGGCCTTTCACCCCTCAGTCTCCTCATCTGTTAAATGGGGTCTCCCCGCATGGCTGTGGGGACTGAATGGACATAGGGACAGAGTGTGCAGCTTGGGGTCACCACCAAGTTTAAGGGCGGGGAAATAGGAACAGGGCTTGCATCTTCCTGACCCCCTGCCCTACACACACTGGGCAGGTGCTAGAGAGCTTCAAGATCATGGACTACAGCCTGCTCCTGGGCGTGCATAACATCGACCAGCAGGAGCGGGAGCGGCAGGCCGAGGGTGCCCAGAGCACGGCGGACGAGAAGCGGCCGCTGGGCCAGAAGGCGCTTTACTCCACAGCCATGGAATCCATCCAGGGCGGCGCCGCGTGTGGGGAGGCCATTGAGACAGATGACACGTAGGTGCTGGGGCTGGTGGGGCTGCCAGGGCTTCTGCCCACAGCAGTTGTTTCTGCCCACACCCTCTTGCCAGGCGTGCACGTGCGCAGGGGGAGTTGGCGTGGAAGGCAAGCGATGATAAAGCAAACGAAGCCAGAAACCCGTATGTGGCCGGTTTCTGATTTGTCCCAGGGACAGCAGTGTCTGCGCACCGGGCCTCATGAAGGTCGTGCGGATGGTGCACAGTCAGTGATCAGAGTGATCAGTCGGTGGGTAGAGGCGTTGGCCAGCCACCTGGGAAACAGAGGTCCTCTCCCTCCCGCCAGGCTGCAGTGCAGGAAGCGCAACTGGACAGGAGTCGAAAGGCGGCACAGGAGACAGAGGTGGCTGGGGTGAGGGAGCCCTTTACAGCAAGATATCTAACCCAGAACCCGCCAAGGGGTGGGATTGAGAGTGTGGCTCTCTCAAAGGTGAATGGCGGCCATGCCAAATGACGAGGTCAGAGAGAGGAGCACGCCCCTGACTGCACTTACTGAGCCTTGGCTTCCCAACCTGGTCCTCCTGGGGGTGGGGGGTGGCGCGGGGTGCAGGGTTTGACCAGGGAGACAGACTGAGGGCATGTGCCCCTCCCTCAGCACTGGGAACACTGGGGCCTTATTCTCTGTGGGGGGCATTCTGGGGTGCTGAGCAGCATCCCTGGCCCCTACCCACTTGATGCTAGGAACACCCCCAATCGTGACAGCCACAGATGTCCCCAGACATGTCCCAGTGTCCCTCAGGGGCAGAGTCCTCCTGGGTGAGAACTGCTTCTACAGATAGGTCGAGATTGCCCCTCGTCACCATGCACTGGCCATGCTGAGAACCAGCTGGACTCCATTTACGTTGGCCTGTTCTGTCTTAACGGGGGCCCTGGAGGAGAAAGGTGTCATCCTCCCATTTTCATCTGGAAAGAGGCTCAGAGGTCAGGAGTCCTATGTGCACAGCCAGCTAGCTGGTCATGGGGCCCAGACTTGACCCCAGCCCAGGCACTGCACTAGGCCCCCAGACGCAGGAGGCAGAGGAAGAACCAGGCGCAGGGCTACGACTAGAGCAAGATGGGAGGGGGCGGCATGTGCAAAGGCCCTGTGCAGCAGACTCTGACCTCAGACCGTCCTGGCATATTTGTAGGATCTGCACAGGGCCTGGCGGGGGATGACAGGGCACGCAGGTGAGCTCAGCAGTGCATGGAGTGCAGTACGCAGGGCCTGGGATTCATGGGTTTGGGGTCACAGTGGCTTCGGGACAGTTGCTGCATCGTGTAACCTCATTAACCAGCTGGGCTGGGCATGTGCAGGCTGGGGCTGTGTGAGGTAATTAACTCCCCAGATTGTACCCATGAGGCCTCATGGCCCTGCCTGGGAGTATGTGTGTGCATGTGTGTGCAAGTATGGGTGTGTGCTGTGAGTATACCGGTGTACACAATTGTATGTGCGCATATGTGTGCGAGTTGCACGAGTGCATGTGAGTGTGCTGAGTGTGCGTGTGTCTTCATATTTGTGCACGTGTGCATGTGTGTGCTCCAGGGCCCCTCAACTTCTTGGGCCTCCAGCGTTGAATTTGTGAGCTAGCTGGAAAAGCTGCTCCCTCCCATGCTGGGACCCGCTCTGAAGGTCCAGCCAAGCTGCCACCTGCAGGGGGCATGTGGATTCTTGAGCCCCAGGCTCCCTGAGTCCTGTCTGCTCCTCTCTCCCTCCATCCTTGTCTCCTCCAATGTCCCAGACCGGGCTCGGCCCCCAGCTGGGTGGGCCAGACCCCAGTCCCCTGCCTGGCTGTGTGGGTGATGGTGCTCTGGACTCTCCTCTCTACAGAATGGGTGGGATCCCAGCTGTGAATGGCCGAGGGGAGCGTCTGCTTCTGCACATCGGGATCATCGACATCCTGCAGTCCTACAGGTGGGTCCCTCGCCCCCGCAGACGCACTTGCCCAGGGAAGCCGGGCTCTGTCTGCTTGCAGGTCTCTCTCAGCCTTCTCAGGGAGGCTCCTGCTGGGCTGCCCTCCCAAGCATTCGGTCCCCAACCCAGGGAATAACACCCGCAGAATCTAGATTCATCCCAGGCACCCAGTGATGTTGGAGACAGGTCAAGGCTGGCTCCAGGCATGGGGGGTGAGCAGGGTGCTGCCAGCTGGCCTCCCACCCGGCCCTGCCTGTTGAGCAGGTAGTGTGTCAAGTTCTGGGCTAATGAGAGCAAGACAGAGATGCCTCATCGCTGTAAAGAGTGACATCTCTGGGAAGTTCCCACAACGTGAAGAAATACGTGCGGCCGGTGCCACACGTCCTGTGGTTTCCAGCGTGGCCGTGGCAAACCCTGAAGGAGCAGACGCCCAGGCTTTACTCGGAGCTAACGTTGGGGTTTCCAGGCAACTCCATTGTTCATGCCTTGTTCTCTGCGAGTTTTCTGCAGTGGACACTTTAAAATTGTCATTAGATTTTTAAAATTTTTATTTATTTTTAGTGAGAGGGGAAAGGAGGGAGAAAGAGGGAGAGAAACATCAATGTGTGGTTGCCTCTCATATGCCCCCTACTGGGGATCTGACCCATAACCCAGTCATGTGCCCTGACTGGGGATCAAACCCGTGACCCTCTGGTTCTCAGGCTGGCACTCAGTCCACTGAACCACACCAGCCAGGGCTGTTACTAGGTTTTTATTGTAAGAACAATGTATGCCGAGTATACGTGATCTAAACGTGACAGGTTGTAGAAGCGGCAGCCCATGTTTCCTGTCCACACCACTCCCGGAAACTCACCTGGCGTGAGGTTTCTCTTCTTTGCACATTTCTCTTTGTTAAATACAGCAGGCCCTTGAACAATTATTGCATTATAACGTTGCTGAGATGCCTAGGAATGTAACTCTTGCTTATGTCAGACTACAGTAAAGCTGATTTTGTTATACAATATTTCTGTTCAAGTCTCAGAACCCGTAAGTATAGACTTACTGTGTAAAAAATCGGCACCTGCCCGTCAACTTTTCATGCCGTGTTTTTCCCCACCAGAGGGCTTACCTGGGCCCTGCAGGTCCCTCTGTTTGGGGCAGGGTTAGGCACCTTTCAGAGCAGCTAGCCATGGTTTCTTCCTCGGCCCAGGCAGGGCTGAGAGGAGGCCGTACATGACAGCAGCGGGGGGGGGGGGGGGGGGGGGGTCTTAAGGGTGTGTGTGCCAGAGGAGGGATTCTTCCCCACCACAGAGGAGAGGAGTCCAGGAAAGCTACCTGGGGGAGACGACCTTGTCCCCAGCCCAGGTGTATTGCGGGGTCCTGGTTGGGGGCCACTGCACACGGCACTGACTCTGGCAGAGAGGAGCCAGGTTCAGCCTAGGCCAGGAGGAGAGAGGAAAGGCAGGCTCTAGGAGGCGCTAGCTGCCTCTCCGCCACAGAGGGCCAAGCACCTCGGCCTTTTCACTTCCTCCTCCACATCAGGGGTAGTGGGAGCTGCCAGCAGGCGGAGCAGGGCACAAGGAGGGAAGACAGGAGAGAGGGTAGGTGGCCTCCGGCTGATGCAGCAGGCAGCCTCACTTTCTCTAAACTAGAGCTTCTTCACCTGCTCAATTCCGGGAGCACCTGTAGTCATGATGACCACGAATGTCCCCAAACATTGCCTGGTGTCTCCTGGGGACAGGATCGCCCTGGTAGAGAACTCCTGGGCCTGAAGATTTGGCTGACGTTCTGCATGCTTTTCCTCTGCAGGTTCATTAAGAAGCTGGAACATACCTGGAAGGCTCTTGTCCATGATGGGGTGAGCATCATTCACTCATTCATTCATCCCATTTATCGTTTCACAAACGCAGTGGCCATCTCCCTGGGCCAGGCACAGGTGCTAAAAAGAGCTACGTTGCCCTTTCCTGGAGTAGCTGTCCAGTGGAGGCTGATTTGTGGTGTTACCAACCCACACTGGGCAGGAGAGCCATCAAGGCCAGCTGGCTGTAACCCCAGAATAAGATTTGTGTCTGCCCAGCCCTGGCTGGTGTAGCTCAGTGGACTGAGTGCGGGCCTGCGAACCAGACAGTTGCGGTTCGATTCCCAGTCAGGGCACATGCCTGGGTTGCAGGCCGGTTCCCTGTAGGCCAGTTCCCAGCAGGGGACACATGAAGGCAACCATACATTGATGTTTCTCTCCCTTTCTCCTTCCTTTTCCTTCTAAAGATAAATAAAATCTTAAAAAAAAAAAAGATTCGTGTCTGCCCAAGGGGACCCCAGATCTTGGTCAAAGTAACCATCCAGCTGTGAGCAAAAGGACCCAGATTCCTTCTGTTTGTTGCCACACACTCCCGGGCCCTACCCTCGGCCCCTGGCCTAGCAGCTGGTCCCAAGTCACACTCCAGCCAGAAGGAGGTGCTGGGGAGCAGCCAGGGGAGGGTGTGCCCTTCCCTCTAAGGGCTGAGAGACTCCCTGTTTTGGCTGGCTCACCCTCTGCCATGGTCACGTGGCCACGCTCGGCACAGGGAGGATGGGAAATGTAGTTTTTATTCTAGGAGGCCATGTGTCTAGACAGGTTCTGTTCTGTTACTACAGGGGAAGAACACTGGACTGGGTGGGGGCCAGGGATGCTGCTCAACCCCCCAGACGGCCCCAGCCCCCAGAGAGTGACCCAGCCCCAGGGGCCTCAGTGCCAAGGGGGAGACTGCTGTGGAAGGCAGGGGGACTGGACCCTGGGGAGCAGCAAGGAGTCTCTGCTTTAGGGCCCAATGTTTACTGAGCACCTAGTGTGTGCTGGCTCCCTGCCTTGTGTAAATCCTGGTCAGCACAGCAGCCTCCCATCCCCCTTGCTGCTCACATAAGGAAGTGACCTCTGGGAGGGGCGGTGCATGCTAGGACAGCTGGGTCAGCCTGGCACAGAGGAACGCCAGCCTTCCCTTGTCACAGTTGCCTGGCTCTGCCCTTGGAGCGGGCATGTAAAACTTGACCTGCACAACAGGCGTTGGGCTGAGCTCTGCCAGCCCTGCTTTAAAGGACCCCTCTGGTTCCTTTTTTTGGTATTTATTTGCTTGCTTCTTCGAATTGTTATTTTATGCACATGGCTCAAAAAGCTAAACTTGGTTATAATGTAACAGTCTCCCTGCCACTGTTCCCTGATCCCTGGGTCCCCTCCACGAAGCCCCGTGCTGTGACCCCATCTCCCCCTCTACAGAGGAGGCAGCACTGCACCCCCACAGTGGCCTGTCCTGGGCCCTCCTCTGGGACACGGAGCCCTCAGGCTCATGCCCCTGCTTGCCCTTGGGCCTGCACATTTCTTCCCAGGACACCGTCTCTGTCCACCGGCCGAGCTTCTATGCCGAGCGTTTCTTCAAGTTCATGAGCAACACGGTTTTTCGGAAGAACTCCTGTGAGTTGCCCTGGCCTTTTGGGCAGGAGGGACCTGGGGTGTGGAGAGGGGGCGGGCGGCCTCCAGCAGGGTAAACTAGCACGCCTCGTCCCGTCGCTTGGTCCGCCTTGGGCCTCAGCCAGGGCCTTGGTCCCACGCACAGGATAGTCGGGCAGCCGTGCCACGCAGGACAGCACAGGGCCTGGTGCCACATCCAAATCTGAGTCCTGGCTTTGTTTCGTCCTGCCTGTGTGACCTCAAGCCAGTGGAGGGCATGGACCTCCGCTCCCTACTAGACAGAAGCTATGAGAGTGACGTGTGCTTCACACGAGATGGGTGGGCTTGGCCTAGCTCCAGCAACCAGCAGGGCTGCCCACAGCCTCACTCTGTCTCCAAGGACGTGGGCTTTGCCGGGCCCTGACATAGTTATCGCCTGACCAGACGTGTCGGGGGGGCGTGGGGTGCACGATAGTGGCCCTTGCTCTAGTGGTGGTCTCGGGAGGTCCCTGATGTGTACTGGCCTCCAGAGTCCCAGACCCAGTGCACACCCCAGGCTGGGATCCCACGTGCCACCTGAAAGAATCTTCTTCCCAACATGTCTGTATGTCTGTTTGGTCCCCAGGCCCCCTCCTCCAAAATATAAGGTACTTGTTGGCCTTTGTCACTGTGCCCCCAGTGTCCAGCTTAAGGCTGTGTTATCTAGTATAGTAGGGACTCAGTAAGTGTCTGTGTGTGCCCTGCTCCTCAGGTCTTGAACCCTGTGGGGTGCTCTCCCACCCCGGACCAGGCCTCCGTGGGCTGCTAGCTGGCCCCAGTCACCCGGAGCTGGCTTACAGAGCCACGGCAGTTCCACATCCTGTGACATGTAGTCAGTAGCTCGAAACCAACTGATGGGAACATTGACAGCATGGAAATCAGCAAACACCACAAACCCAGCTTTGTCTCCAGAGAGATGCTTGTTACCTTTAGCAGTACACCACTTCCTGGAACCTTCTTAGGTTGCTATTCCCACTGCAGTCCAGAGGACTTTGCTGACCACTGGGGGCTGGATGGTGGCGCATGGAAAACATTGAGCACCTAGTGTGTGCCAGGAGCTGTGCTGGCCACTCTGGGGGCAGAGGTCGCATGGGAACCAAAGAGAGGGTGGTGGCAGGTGCTGACAGGCCAGGCCTGGTACGCAGGGTGTCACAGGGTTCACCTGCCTCACTTGACCTTGTTGTTTGCAGACGAGGGTGCTGGGGCAGAGAAAAGCTGAGCTCTGTTCCCCGGGCTGTGCAGCATGGCTGGGATCTGAGCTGCTGGCGCTGAGCCCTGCATTCCCCAAGGCCTTCCATTTCCTTGTTTGACCATTGGGCGCCAGCTATAGTGGGCTGCCACAAAAGGGATGAGGCCCCATCCGGCTCAGTAAACATCGGCAGCTGCTGATTCAGCCACTGTTTCCTGAGGGCCCGGGGTGGCGGCACAGGTCCCATCTCTGCTGATAGACAGAGCCAGGTGGGCAGCAGGGCAGGGCTTTGTCTGAGAAAAGCATTAGTTCTTGCCCAGGCTTGAGGAACAGGCTGGAGCTAGGGCGGCGTGGGCCATGTGTGCAGGTGGTGGGCCCCTTGGTGCCCACCACACTCTTATGCAAAGGAAGGATGGGGTCTGTGGGGCCCTGCCTTGTTGCCACCCCAAGCATGCCAACCACTCTCCCTCCCCAGCCCTGAAGTCGTCGCCATCCAAGAAGGGCCGTGGCGCCCTGTTGGCAGTCAAGCCCCTCGGTCCCACAGCTGCCTTCTCAGCCAGCCAAATCCCCAGTGAGCGGGAGGACGCACAGTATGACCTGCGGGGGGCCCGCAGCTACCCCACGCTAGAGGACGAAGGTGACCAGGCAGTGGGAGTGGTGCATTTGTGATGGGAGAAGTCAGGGGACTGCTGAGGACAGACGACATCCCTGGGCATTAGTGGGTGTGGGGTGTAGGGAGCGATATTATCAGTGTAGTATGAAGAAGGGGACCTCTGAAGCTGGGCCAAGCCTGGGTGGGAGGGCCGGGGTCACAGTCACCCCACCTTCAGTCTGGGATGTGCAGCCACCTGGGGAGCGGGGAACAGCCGACTCTAGGCCCAGCAGGAGCTGCAGGGAGAACAGCATAGAAAGCCCCACTTGGGGTGGAGACCCTCCTCTCCATTGCTAGTGTGCAGAGAGAGAGGATGAAGTGGTCGGCCGGGTTGGGCTTGACCTTCTGGAAGTTCCTTCGAGCAACTCGGATCACAGGTGCCAGGCAGGGAGGGGCTGGGGGAATAGCATAAAGGAGAGAGAAGCTGTGCATCTAGGGTGCCCAGGCAGCACTGTTTGGGGTGTTGAAGGAACAGCAAAGAAGCCATGTGGCTGGAGCAGAGTGAGCCAGGGGGAGAGAGGGAGGAGGTGAGGGCAGGGAGGGGACAAGGACAGGCAGGGCAGGACCTCTGGGAGGTAGTCTGGATTTTCGTTTGAGAGCATCAGGAAGCTCCTGGAGTCCCTTGTGCTGGGAGAATGTGGGTGATGAGTGGCAGCCCCAGTAGAGCCGGGAGCCTGGCTCCCACAGGCTCCCATTGCCTCCTCCCTGCAGGTCGGCCCGACCTCCTGCCCTGCACCCCACCTTCTTTTGAAGAGGCCACCACTGCATCTATCGCCACGACCCTGTCTTCCACGTCCCTCTCCATCCCAGAGCGGTCCCCCTCGGAGACCTCAGAGCAGCCAAGGTACAGGTGAGCAGAAGGGGGCAACTCCCTGAAGGGGCCTCGGGTGGGGCTGCATTCCCAAGAGCAGGGGCCAGGGCAGGGCCTGGGTGGGGCGGGGCGGGGCAGACGGAAGGAAGGCCTCCGGGACTTCTTCCACCCAGCCCACCTGTTTGTGTTCTCTCGGAAGGCGGCGCACGCAGTCCTCGGGACAGGATGGCCGGTAAGATGCGACCCCAGCCCTCTCCTCCCCAGTCTTCTCTGTGGTCCCCACGGCCTCCCCAGCTCCTCCCAGCAGAGCCCTCCCTCTCCCCCTCCCCTTTCCTTCCGCACAGCTATCCCCTCCGCGTTCCTCCCAGGGCCCCTCTTTCCTGGGAGTAGATTTATGGTGAGGACCAATCTTCAAGCCCTGGAACCACGCAGAATCTCAAGTCACATTGCATTTCTCTTCCACCTGGGGCCCCCTCCCTTGTACCTGCTGATCCTTTCTTTCTCTTTTCTATTCTAAGAGCTGAAGGGAACATCGTGAAATGCCCAGCCCTGTCCCATGCCCATCTCTTCCCTGGGAACCCCCCCACCAGGGTGGGATTTTTGTCTCTGGAGACATTTTATGAATATGCCAGCGAATGTGCACTCAGGCCTGTATTTCCCTTCTGTTCTGACACACGCTCTGGCCCTCCGCCCGCGCCCCTTACTTCGTCACTTTCCACATGCAGGTTGCTGCCGTGAGCCTTCGCGGGCTCTCTTCCTGCCCTTGGGGCACTCGGGTTGTTTCCGTTGTTTGCTCTTGTCACGTGACTGTGGCGAATGGAGGTTGCTCTCCAGAATTAGTTTTCGCAGTGATAATTTCTGCCAGTTGAAGAGACAGTCATGGTACAAAGCACATTTGGATAAACGTACACCTCCCTCTTCAGCTGTCTGCTAGCTGCCAGGAGGGCAGTGACCTACACCAGAGACCTCAACTTCTGGGCCCCTATGCCACCCCACTCCTCGTTCAGGCCCCAGACGAGTGCCCAGAAACCCCAGGAGCGGGGACAAGACCCAGGTTGCCACTCACTCCTTATGCCCCCGCTGGTACCAGAGGCCCAGAACCCCCAGGTGGACAGTCAGTTGTCTCCTCAGAGCCCCCAGGGTCGGCATGGCAGCCAGAAGGACCATGCTTGAGCTGGGCCAGCATGGGGTGCTGCTCAGGTGGTGCCCAGAGACAACACCTCAGCACCCCACCCCCCACACACCACAGACTGAAATCAGCACATGCCCAGAGGAGCTCAGCAGGAGTTCCTGGGAAGTGGAGGTGGGGTGAGGAGGGAAATTGAGCATGGCATCCGGTTGCCTCCAGGCCCCAGGAGGAGGCGCGCGTGGAGGAGGACCTGCAGCAGATCACGGTGCAGGTGGAGCCCACATGCAGTGTGGAAATAGTAGTCCCCAAGGAGGAGGAAGAGGGGTGAGTGATCATCCGGTCCATTCTGTCCATGCTTTCCGGTTGCCTGGTTCCTGTGATCAACTTCTGCCCCATTCCCTTAGCTAAGCATGGTCATGTGCCCCCCAGCAGCAAGGCAGGCTGGGAAATGTAGTCTAAAATCCTGGAAGCAGAGGTATGGGAATAAAACTTCAGGCACTGAGGTACTGGGGACCACAGATTCACTCACAGCGGTGCGGGTCCTGTGTGATTCCGGGGATTGTACCTCACTGGTGATCTGTGGTTCCTTTTCCCCTCCCTGCCCTCACTCTTGCCTGCACTTACAAGAGGATGACTGGCCAGTTTCTTCAAAGGACTATTTTTGGACTGAGTCACCCTTTTCCCATCATGTTTTGTTCTCGTTTCATGCACTTCAACTCATCAGTTATATTTTTTCTAACTTCTTGTTTGTTTTCTTCACTTCTTTTTTTCAGCATAGGTTGAGTACTTAAGTTCCTTTCTGCTCTCTTCAATAAGCAGCACTTAAGGCTATGAATTTTCCTCTGAGTACTGCTTTTGTAGTGGCCTATGTGTTTTGACATGAAGCAGTTCCTTATTGTGCTGGCTCTGTATTGGATGGTTAATGATTTCCTTTTAATGTCCTCTTTGCTCCAAGGCAGTGAGGCTCTCAGCCATCTGGGGGTGGTCCTGCATTCCGAGGACACTGGGCCACGACTGGGGACACATCTGTGGTTGTCAGGACTGGGGGTGCTCCTGGCATTGAGTGGGTGGGGGCCAGAGATGCCACTCAACACCCCACAGAGAGTGACCCAGGCCTGGTATCCATAGTGCCCAGGGGGAGAGACCCTCGCTGAGGCTTTTTAGGAGTTTCCCTCCACTTCTAGGTGTCCAGGGATTTTTTTTTTTTTTACCCTTTCAGTACTCAGCTCTAATTTTACAAGGCTTTGAATTGAAGAAAGTAGTCTAAAAAAATCTATGATATTTTTTTCAACAGATGTAAGTCTTTTTTAAAAAAGATTTTTATTTATTTATTTTTAGAGAGGGGAAGGGAGGGAGAAAGACAGAGAGAGAAACATCACTGTGTGGTTCCCTCTCATGTGGCCCCCACTGGGACCTGGCCTGCAACCCAGGCATGTGCCCTGACTGGGAATCGAACCAGCGACCCTTTGGTTTGCAGCCCACGCTCAATCCACTGAGCTATGCCAGCCAGGGCCAGATGTAAGTCTTTATGGCCAATTACAATGTCAGTGGTTTTTTTTTTCTTCTTTTTTTTAATGTCTGTGGAAGTATGGGAGAAATGTGCATTTTCTGTCAGGGGACAGAAAGTTCTCTAGAAATCTCTCCTGTCCACAGTATTGATTGCTTCATTTAGTTCCTTTATGTTCTAACTTATTTCTAGTCTGTTTCGTCTATTTAATTCTATTATTTAGGATTTCTGTTCTATTTCAAGGGACCTTCCTTAGCATTTACAGCATTCCCAGGTTGCACTTGGCCATTAACTGTTTGCTGTACACATGGGTACACACACATTTCTGCCACCGTGCTTTTTTGCTGTGAGCCGAAGTCTTGCAGTGTAAGGGAGGCATCATTCAGTCTTTGCCCAGAAAGACAGCGCGACCTGAGCATGACTGGAGAGCAGCTCCTCCCACAGTTAGGGCAGCTCTGTCACCTCCGAGCTCGGCATCTTCCTCGTGAGATGAGAGTTCTGCAGCCATCAGCCAAGGCCTGCGTGATCCTCACCATCTCTTTGTCTTAGTCTCCTCACCTGTAACACGGGACAGCAGCACCCCTCCCCAAGGGAGAGTCAGTGGATTCATTCACACAAGAGCAGGCCTGGCACATAGTAAGTGCTCAGTTCTGTGGGTTCCCACTTTACAGATGAGGAACCGAGAGGCTCAGAGAAGGAAAGTGAGGCTTCAGGGTTGCACAGCAGCGAGTGGCAAGGCCAGGACAGTGCATGTGCCTGTGTTGGGGAAGGAGTCCAGGTAGGCCAGTTATTACCTGGGCCACAACAGAAGTAGGGTGTTTAGTTTCTTTTGGCTTCCTGAGGCTTTTGTCTCCGTGGTGACACACTGAGAAGGGAGGAGAGGACAGGAGGGTGGGAGGGCATGGGCTAGGAAACGAAGGTGCTACCGAGAGCCCAGCCCCAGGACTCCCCTGTCCTTTCCTGTCCCCAGGGCGGAAGCTTCCCCAGCCTGTTCCTCTGCTGCAGTTGTCGAAGTAGAAACTGCCAGCCAGGCCTCAGAGCCTGCCAGCCAGGCCTCGGACGAGGAGGACGCACCCGCTGCTGACATCTACTTTGTAAGTCCTCCGGGGGCTCTCTCTCGTCACCAGACCCTCAACCCAACGTGTGCTCATGTGTGCATATGCACTGACATGCCCCCACACATTGACACATGCAGCATACATCACATCTGCATGCATGTGCCTGCACACATGTGTACATGTGCTCACATGGACACATTCCCACATTTGCACATTCACACTGACACATGGACATACACTCGAGAGGTACCCACACCTGCACGTGCTCTTGCACGTCCACCGGCACAAGCACAATGTGCTCTTGCATATTCGCAGACACCCATGTGGTATGCTCTCGATCACATGCACGCTCACATGGTATATGAGTGTCCCACCCGGTATCACCCAGGCCAGGCCATTCCAAAGCCAGGAATCTTCTCTGGACCTTCCTCCCCAGACCTGTGACCACTGCCTGGCATGAGCCAAGGCCCCAGCTGTGCCACCCTGTCCCCCTGGGAATCATCCGAATCCTCACACTCTCAGCTCCGATGGGTGCCTGCGTCCTCCTTGGTGTGTGCTGAGCCAGCTGAGGTGGACTGGAAGTGCTATGGATCTCCTCGCACTGGGGGTGGGTGCAGTGAGGTGGGCTGCAGCCTTAAGGGGTTAAGGGAATTGTGGCAAGGCACAGGTGGGCCTCATGCTGCCGATGTCACTGGCTGAAGACATGAGGCTATTCCTGGACAAGGAAGGGTTTGTCAGAACAAGAAGGGACCCTGTCCTGGGGGCCAAGGCCTCCCTTCCAAAGCTGGGGAGTCACCTTCCCCCCTTGCATCTCCTGCAGGCAAGACAAATTAGATGAGCCAGGGGCCTGATGAGGTAGGTGCTGGGTGACCAAGGAAGCTGCAAAGTCTAGTCCACCGGCCCCCGACAGAGGGTCATGAGCCAGATGGCCCCCATTGCAACGGGAAGGGCCGGACCCTGTAGCCTAGCTGTCTGCCCTTTTCCTAGACCCTCATTTTCATCTCTGCCCCCAGGGGAAGGGGAGCTCGGGGCTGCTCATTGCCTTGGTCCTGGCACCTGCCCTCCAAATCTCCAGGCCTGGGGACAGTGTGGGTGAGCCTGGCCCTCTACTGCCATCGCTGCTCCGTAACCACCACCATCCTGCTGTCCCGACCCAGTGCTTCTGAGTCACAGGGCTCCTGCCAGGCACTGTAGCGGGCACACTGTGTGTGTGTCCCGTCCACCTGCCACCGTCTCCCCATCCTCGGGGGCTTGATTTGTCCTGTTGTCTCGCATCATGTGTGAGGCGGCCAGGCTCTGTCCTGTGAGTAGGTGGCTGGGCCACAAGGGCAGCAGCAACGGTTGAGGCCACCATGTGACCCTGATACCCCCAGACTCTCCTATTGCTTTGCCATCGGCTCACCTGCCCCCTCCTAGCACTCGCCCCACCTGACCTTCCTGACCTCAGCGGAATCCCGCCTTCCTGTCCCCTCACCCTGTCCTCTCTTTGCCTCCTCCGCCCACCTGGCCCACCCAGTTCGCGGACGGGAGGTACTGGACTTACTCTCCCCGGCATCACCGACTGCAGGCCATGACGCTGAGCTCCTCGGGGACTGTAAGTGACCACAGCAGGCCTCCAGGAAGCCGAGTCCCTGCCCCGCTGCCGCCTGGGGCAGCCGGGAGCCCTAGGGCCTGGCCGTCCCTCTTCCTCTGAGAAGGGACCTGGGGAAAGTAGTCACGACAGCTGTGCAGGGTGCCCTGCTGTGTGTGTCCTGCAGGGATGACAGTCCCCTGTGAGGTGAGCATCAGTGGCCGGCAGGCACATGGCTGGCACTCAGCGGGCCTGGTCGTGGCGGAGTCTCCATTTGAGTGCCAGACCCAGGCTGCCTCTGCCCCTCCCCAGCCTTTCCAGGCAAGTGGTAAGTTGGGTGGACACTCCTCATGTGCTCAGACCTTCCTGCTGACGGCCCCCCAAAAGCACATCTGCCCTCTGATGGGGATAGTCACGTAGGTCAGTGAGGGACTGACTGCAAAGCTGGGCTCTTGAAGGAGAGAAGAGCTGGTATCTTCGTACCCTTTTCACAGACAGAGAAATTGAGGCTCAGCTCCAAAGGAGCCCACAAGAGCCCTAGGGCCTGGCCTAGGGTACACAGTTCAAACAAAACCTGAGGCCAGACTCCCAAGCAGCGCCTGAGTGTAGTGGACACTCATCTATCCAGTGTGCTTGGGACGTTACATGGGTATCATGCAGCAGTCCTGTTACTGCCATCATGAGCAATAAACGAAGGGCCCAGAGAGGCCAAGTAATCTGCCCAGAGCTGCACAGTGCAAACCGGTGGAACAGGTGAATAACTAGGGGGAGAGTTTCTGTTCTGAAGAGAAAGCCCCTCAGGGGCTCACACCCTGGCCCCAACAGAAAGCCCCTCTCCCCACCACTGCATGTCGAGATCACCTCCCCAGTCCTCTGTCCTCCCAAGATGGGGCTGCCATCACCCAGAGGTGATGTATGATGCAACAGCCAGGGACACACAGCAGCCCCCTGGGGGAGCAGTTTGCAAAGGTTCCTGGAGAGGGTTGATCTGAACTTTGAAAGGAAGAGGAAAGGGTATCTCCATGGGGGACACAGCGGAAACGGAGCAAGGGGGCTGGGTGGAAGGAGAGGAAGGCTGGGTGAGCCGCAGGAGAAACTGTCAGACCTGCAGGGAGGGTGTGCCCTTGGTCTGACTGTAATGGGATCACCCCAGTTTCTGGGTCTCTCCCCGAGACCCAGCTCTCTCCAGAGTATCCGATGGGGCCCTGTCGTCCCAAGTTCTGAGCCCAAGCAGGGTAGCTGCCTCAGTATTGAGCTCCCCTGCAGCTGCCCTGTGCTGGCCACTGGGCATGAGAGGCCCCAGGTGGCCGGGCGGGGCCTTTGGGCTCCCAGGTGGGCAGGGATTTTTATTGCACCATAACCATCTGAAGGAATGAGCAGGGCCTAGAGCGGTGCCTTGCCCTGCTGCTCCGTGCCCCTCTGTGCCAGTCCACAGATGGACATAGGCCTCTGGGATGAGGTGCACGGTGCCCAGCAGCCTGGGTGGCCCACTCGAGCACAGGGTTCCGGCCTCTATGAGCAGGCATCGCTCAGAGCTGCAGGGAGGGTGGGCTTGAGTAGGCACAGAGGTTGGGAGACACAGCAGGTGGGCTCTGAGGGGTGGGTCTGGGGGCTTGTTGGTTGTGGCTGTGGTAGGTTTAGGGGCCTTGGGACAGCCAGGTGGACATGGCCAAGGTAGGTGTGTACTCTGGCCTGGTGCTCACCACAGAGGCTTCAGCTGGGGTAGAGGTCCTCAAGCCTCAGGGCATTAAAGGCCGGGGTAGTAGACTCCCCGGAGGGAGGAGGAAGAGAAAACAGGTGGGGAGAACCCAGAGGAGGCCTCCAGGACCCAGGGAGGTTCTTGAGATGGGAGCAGACCTGGCAGGAAAGTGTGCCCACCCCCGATCATATGACAGCATGGGGAACCCTCCCCATACATAGCTGGAGGGACACCAACCCGCCCCACCACCCTGTGCTGTGAGTGCTCCCAGAACCCACACAACAGGCAGGGTCTGAGGGTGGCGTGCTGCTGGGCTAAGACGGAGCTTCAGGTGCCGTGGGTGGGCAGAGGAGGAGGAGAGAGGACAGCAGAGGACACCAGCCCCTGCCACTCTCCCCCCCGCCCTGCTATGCCCGGCCCACCCTGACTGCACTCACTGCTTCCTGCTGCCGCCCCACCTGCTCCGGCCACTCAGCCCCGGCCCTGCCCATCTCTAGGGCCCTCCAGGTTGGGGGCAGGTCCCCATTAGGGAGATGGCAGCGAGGGGCTGAGCTGCCCACCCGTCCTGTGTTGGGGGTCCGCCTCTTTTATTTCTGTTTCTTCCTTCCTCCCTCTCCCCTCTCTCGTGCCTCCTCACACCCTGCTCTCTTCGCCCTTCCTGCACGTGCCGCCCGCCCGCCCGCCCGCCCGCCCTCCAGCCCACCGATGAGAGGAGCTGGGTGTACTCCCCACTCCACTATAGCGCACAGGCCCACTCAGCCTCCGACGGCGAGAGCGACACAGTAAGTGTGCCCACGGCCCTCCAGCTTGGCCTGCTTGGGGCTGAGAGCATAGACCCCAGATGCCCGGAGGACAGGTGGGGAAACAGGTCTGGGGGGGGGCAGGCCCGGGCCCTTGCTGTGTGGTGGCCCGTGGGGTAAGTGTCTTGGGGCCTCTGTCCGGCCCTCATGGCATATGGAGTCCCTGGCCTGAGGCATCAACGGTGGGGCCAGGCCCCCCCATGGGAGGCCCGGGGGGTGGGGGGTCCAGCCCTGACCCATCTAGCCCTCACCTGCCTCTCTCGCTTTCTGCAGTAATTTCTGTGCAGTCACCAGCCCACAGGAACGGAGCACGCGCTCCTGGCCCAGCCTGGCCCAGAGCACGGGGGGCGCCACCCGGCTGCCACTGGATGTCGCTCGCCCACGTCCTCCCCTTGGCGATGGTCACTGACGCTCCGGGCTGCAGCGCGATCGCCCCCGGCTCCGGCACCCCCCTGCGCCTGTGATACTGTGAACCTCCCTGAGTCTCCAAACACGTATTTATTTTGGGTCCTTACTCTTTGCACACAGACGGCAGCACATGAGTGCTTTTTTGGAACAAGGAAAAAAAAAGGACACAGTGGAAAAAGAAGCAGCTCCATTCTAAGCACTTTTTAGTTCTTTGCTACACTTGCATGTGTCTCACTGAGGGAAAAAGACCCACCTGCTGCAACCCCTCTCTGACTGTCCGCAGGTGCTTCCCTGCTCCACCTTTGCCTCGAGTGGGGCACCTAGGAGGGCAGAGCCACCAGACCTGCCCTGGTCCCCAGGGCACCTCTGGAGGCCACCCACTCAGCAGCTGCTCTTGGCTCAGGTCTGTGAGCTGGACACCTGTCCTCGGGGGAGGCCAACCGGTGGTCCTGGGGTGGCGCGACACCCTGCTGACCCCTTGGTCTCTCAGCATCTGTTTCCCACCACGCCCTCCTTCCAGGCGACGGGGGCAGAAGTAGCCAGGCAGTGACTAGAATGCAGACACGTGACTGCCCCTCATGGTGGAGCTCAGGGCTGTGGGCGTCTTATCCACACGGACTGCTCAGCGTCTGGAAGATAGGGCCCAGGTGATGGAGACGGCCTTTCAAAGCAGGCTTTCCAGAACATCCGACTCTGAGAGGAGACGCCGGCCCTCAGCCACAGGACTCCCGGAGAGCTCGTGTCCCAGAGCAGGGCCCTCCCGCAGGTAGGGACAGGGCCCAGGGGGCCAGACTGTCCCGTAAGAGTTCCCCCTGACTGGGTGGGAAGCCTCTCTCATTTTTAAATGATGATGTCTGCACTGACTAAAGGATGGGGAAGACATTCTTCATGAAAAACAAGACTTTTTTTGGTCATCTTCAGCAGAGGCAGCCATTCCTGGGCTCAGAGCTCCAGTGAGTGGCCGCAGGGTCATCCTGCTGTGTCTGGAGGGGGCCGCCGGAACCAACGGCTTGGCAGGATTTCTCCCTCCCCCACCTAGACACACTCCCACTGCCTGAGGTGAGCAGTGATGGCTGTCCCCTCTGCACTCTGCAGACCCACACCACCTCGGTCCCACGTGGGAGGAGCTAGGGACAGGCTGGGAGCGAAGCCAGACCTTTTGGAAGAGTTTCTCCCCAGCCCCTGCCTCCCTGGTGGAGCCCGAGACAGCCAGACACCCACGGATCCAGGAATCTGACTTTCTCAGTCCCTGAAGCCACCTGAGCTGCTGCTCCTCCTCCTGCCACGCAGGCCCCTTGTCTCACCACGGACAGCCTACTGGGCGGAACCTGCTAGTCTGGCTCTTCTCCGGAGGGTGAGGCTGCACCCCAAGGGCTCTCCTCTCACTGTCAGCATGGGAACAGCACCCCAGCTCTGAGCATGGCCTTGGGGGACACTCTATGCAGCCTGGGGAAAGGCACCCCCAGAGGACCTGTCAGGATGAGCTTGTGGGTGGCCCAAATAAGCAAAAAGAGCATCTTCTCTCTGCTGCCCAAAGAGTGTTTGTCCAGGCCCTGGGGAGCATCCTCACCTGGGCCTCAGACTGGTGCCTGTCTGCAGGCGCCATGGCCACATGCCACGAGTCACCAGTCTGTCCCTGACCAGTCCCACCAAGAGGGAAGGCAGGCAGAGCTCAAAAGGCACACATCAGACCTGGAAGATTACCAGGGACTGCTGTGTCACCCAAACACCAATGTGAGAGTCCTCACCCAGGCCCCCAGAGACCGGGACCAGAGATGTTCTGAGCCCTGGTGGGGATGACCAGTGCAGCAGCCCAGTTCTGGAGCAGTGGGCTCTGCATCCAGGGCATCCTTGGCCAGGGTATCTGGAGCTATAGGAGCGAGGAGGGGAGCTGCCTGCGTGGCCCCATCAGGTCCCTAGTCCCTGCTGGGTCCCTTGAGCTTTCCTGAATGAATCACAGGACAAATGTGCTGGTCAAATGCTGACTCAATAGGAGTAATTCGAAAACCTTCTGGATATAACATTTCTGTTTTTGTTTTAAGTCAGGAGACCCTTTGGAGACGCATTTTGTGTTGTACTATTTGTCCCAGGACTGGGCAGGGGAGCAGGAAGGCAAGACCTTATTTATAACTGTGTACTGAACCCATGGCCTTCCTCACACCCCTGACCAGGAAGGCCCTGGACTCACCCAGCTGTCACCCTGCCCCACCCCCCACGAGGTCCTCCAGATGGAAATCTGTAAATTGCCCCGTTTCCCTCATGGCTCATTTCTGATGGCCGCTGTCTGGTCGCTGTCGCTGAGAATGTGAGCAGCGTCTGATTCGCTGTACTGTAAAAACAAAAGGCATATCCCGAGGCTGACAAGGGGGAGCCTTCTGTGAGTCCCCTGCCAGCCTTCTCTCAACCCCTTTGCCTCCACCACCTGGCTCAGTGCAATACTCCCATCCCTGATGGGGTCTCTTGCCATGGTACTGTCGCCGCAGCCCCTCGGTCCCTAGCCCAACCTTGTTTTTATGGCTGAACTGATTTCAAAACACAGTGTAACTGCAAACCTTGTGTGTCTTAACTGTCACCGGGGCTTCTGCGTGCTCAGCCCCCGGTCTGGTATGTGACAATCCGGAGTGCAGCCTCCTGTGGGCGCCTCTGTAACCCTGCAGCCACTGCTGGCCCCGATGACACTCGTATGCAGCCCCGGGCCCCGTCCCCGCCTCCCCTTCCTCTTTTTATGTTGAAAGGTCTCTCTAATAAATTGGGTAATAAGCATCCGCCACCTCTTTGCCTCTCTGTGTGCCTGTGGTCTGGTGGGGAGTTCGAGGACTGGCTGTGAACAAGAACAAAAAGAAACCCTCAAAGGTTTAGAATAACAACAGGACCCAAATGTCTTCGTTGCCTTGGTCACTAGCTGTGGCCTCCTGGATTCCAGATCAGCCACAACTCCCCAAAGTTTGTATTCCTTCTGCCAGAAGATGCATGTTGACTAATGCATGGACCCCAAGTAAGGGGAAAGTACTTCTCCCAGATGCCCAGTCCAAGAACTGAGTCGAAAGTCAGATCCTGTCTGTAAGTAAGCCCTCGAAACCCAGCTACAATCACAGGTGCAGAGGCAGGGTGCCCCTGCTTGTGTATAAACTAGACAAGCAGATGATCTGGAAGGTGCCTTCCTGACAAGGCAGATACTGTCATGGAGGCGCCTGCATTTTAAAGGTCTGATGGCCAGGCCCCCTCATGTGTCGGGCCATCCGCTCAGCAGCACAACCCACGTCCCGTGAGTAGTGGGACTGTCATCAGTGTGATGGGAGGTGGTCTTCTGCTGCTTCCTTTGGGAGACTCATTCTGTGCCACCGCCCCACCCTGCACCTTGGTACCAAGCACAAGCAGAGCATACACAGCCAGCGTTGAGGGTGGTGTTATGAAGCTATACTTTAGAGATTTAAATAGCTAGTTTAAAGTATTAAGTACCATCCTCTGGTGGACTAGGGGGGCTTGGAGCAGGTCTTCGGGACCCTCCAGGTCTCTGGGCCTCCTGTCCTGTGCCCTCTGGTCTGTCCCCCCGACCAGCCCCAGAGGGACTCCCGTACTGGCCAGTCCCACGTTTATCCTTCCCACAGAGCAAAGCTGGACCACCCAGTTCAAATCGCAGCTGCCTCTTCAGGGTTGAAGAATGGGTGTTTAAGGGACTTTCCCACTCTGAGCCTGTTTATTCATTTATAGAATATAGAATGGGTTGAAAGGAAACTAAGGGAGTCATCCAAGATTTTTTTTTTAAGTTTAATCCCCAGCTCTGGCTGGTGTAGCTCAGTGTGTTGAGCGCGGGCCTGTGAACCAAAGGATCGCTGTTTGATTCCCAGTCAGGGCACATGCCTGGGTTGCAGGCCAGTTCCCAGCAAGGGACACATGAGAGGCAACCAACCATACATTGATATTTCTCTCCTTCCCTTCCCCTCTAAAGATAAATCTAAAAAAAAAAAAAAAAGTTAAATCCCTGAAATACATAGGTATTCATTGGTGGATGGTGGAGCATGACAGTGAGTCTCATAAAAGGTCAGCCCAACATGTGAGACTTTTCAGTTTCCGTCCCAGCTCCCACTCTTCGCCCTCTTGAGGGGCCGGGACTGAACCTACGATCTTGATGCTTCTCTGCCTACTCAGGCCAACGGCCCTCACTCCCAGAACAGGCCTCCTCTAGGTCTTGGCCGAAAGGCTCCACCTACCCCCTAAACCCTCCCCTTCCTGGTACCGCCTTCCCACCCCCGCCCCACTGACAGTTTCTGTTTCGTCTTTTCTCCGCGCCCGCAAGCGTAGCTTGTAGTGCTTCCAATCCTAAAACAGGAGGACCCACTTGGAGCTGCCCCTAGCATTGCCTGAAGGGCGAGTCCTAGACCCTGGAGGCCACGGTCCGACTGGAGTTTATAACGTAGACCACGTTTGCAGGCGGTGGGAGGTTTACAAGGCATCAGGGTCCTTGCGGGTAGGGTAGCGGGATGGGTTCGTAGCCCCTGGCTCAGTCTCGGATGGGGCAGCCTGGTGCGCGCCGTGACTGAGGAAGGCCCCCGGAGCAAGCCCCGGATATTTGCGTCTGCGCCGCCGCCACCGTCCCAGCCCATGGGTCGAGATACACGCTCGCGCTCGCGATCATCGTGTCGCAGGGGTCGTAAGGGCCGGAGACAGCGGAGCCGGAGCGGGAGTCGAAGCCGAAATCGGAGCGGGAGCCATGGGCGGCGAAACAGGCGGCGCCGAGACGGCGAGGGGCGGCGGAGGCGGCGAAGCCGGGAACGAAGGTGGGATCACTGCAGGAGCAGCGCCTGGGATCCGTCTACTACCCTGGGGAGGGGAGGTTAGGCAAGGCGTTCTGGAGAAGGGGTCGTCAGATAGCGAAAGGAAAGCGAGAGGTATTCCAGGCAGGGCACCCGATGTTTGGAGGGACATCAAGGAGCCCAGTGAGCGAGGCAGGTGACAAAAGTAATGGAAGACCAGTTCGTGCAGATGCTTGCGTATTGTGGTGAGGGTTTGGCCGTTATTCGTGGGAAGTAGGAGGCTACGGGAGCATTTTGAACAGGGGAGTGACGCGGTCTGACTTTGCAGAAGTCCCTCTGGCTTTCGTGGAGAAGGGACTGAGGGGATGAGCAGTAATGACACCAGGGAAGAGGAGGAGGTGGAGGTTATGGTTGTCCAGGCAACAGATGATTGTGGCTTTTACGAGAGGGAGGCACAGTGAGAGGTGGGTAGATTCGAGTGGGATGTCAGAAGTAGAGGTGACATCACTGACTCAGGGAGGTGGGTGTGAGAGGGAAGAACGGTTGATGACAGGTGGCAGGACTCAGCTGACTCCTACCTAGGACCTGAGTCTCAGCTTCCCCATGGCCCAAAGCCCTTTACTTCTGGATGTGGGGCACCTTGCCAGACTTGGCTGGAGTCTATTTCAGCACATAGGAACCAGCACAGTGGTGGGAACTGACTCCAAGACCTGGTCCCAGTGCTGGCTCATCCCCTAACAGACAGTGACACTCAGACCATTCTCTTCCCCTCTGTGACCCAGGGTTACTCGTCTGTGCCCTCAGATTTCCATGGGACCTCTCCACACATTCATTGTCCCCACTCCTCTGGCCCAGCAATTTTCACCGTTTCCATCTGTGGCACATGCAAACTACAAAAATTCTGCACCATCCGGAAAAAATATACTTTTTACTGATCTGACAAAAAAATGGGTATAATTTTGATTTCATTCACACTGGATGGCTATTGTGTTGGCTGTTGTCATTTTTTAAAAGATTGTATTTATTTATTTTTAGAGAGAGGGGGAGGGAGGGAGAAAGAGAGGAAGAGAAACATCAATGTTCAAGAGATACATCGAATTGTTGCTTCTCCCAACTCCCCAGCTGGGAACCTGGCCTGCAACCCAGGCATGTGCTCTAACTGGGAACCGAACTGGGAACCTTTTGGTTCACATATCAGCGCTCAATCCACTGAGCCACACCAGCCAGGGCTGTCATCATTCTTTTCTTTGACATTCTAAGGGAAAAGAGGTCAAAGCCCCTGACTAAATAGTCCGGTATTGCATGTTTTAAAAATTCTTGCAGCACATGGGTTGCAAATTGCAGCTGCAGCCTGTTCTCCACACCATAACCAGAATAACTGTAGTCAGACCAGCTGGTGGCCATCTAGGCCGAGAAAGTGGCTTTTCCATTTGAGTCTCCTAGGATCACTGCCACCCAGGAATTCCAGGAAGCTGCAAAGAGCAGAAGAACGCAGAGGCGATTTAAACCAGGGCTTGGTCACTCCAGCCTAGGACCAAGAATAGTTTTTACATTTGGAAACAGTAAGGAAAACTCAAAAGTATTTTATGACATGTGAAAATTATATGACATTCAAATGTTGGTGTCTAGAAATAAGACACACAGCCGTGCCCATTTGTTCACATACATTCCACAGCTGCTTTGCACTAAAGGGCAGAGCTGATTTTTTACAGAAAAAAAGTCACTAACCACCCTGGATTGTATAGCTTAGTGGATTGAGCGTGGGGTGCGAACCAAGGAGTCACTGTTCGATTCCCAGTCAGGGCATATGCCTGAGTTGCGGGCCAGGTCCCCAGTGGGGGCCATGTGAGAGGCAACCGCACACTGATGTTTCTCTCCCTCTGTTTCTCCCTCCCTTCCCCTCTCTCTAGAAATTAAAAAAAAAAAAGATGTATTTTTTTTTAAGTCACTAACTCTAGATTAAGGCCCTAGTGTTGATACTTTAGCTCCCATGGAAGAAAATGTCTTATTATTATCATCTTTATATTTTTTTGTGTACTGTTTTCTAGTATTTGAATTATGCACAAGAGTGAACCACCCTAGATATGTAATTAATGTTGTTTATAAAAATTTGATCAATTTATAGTCCATGTTCAAGGCCTCCAAAATAATTGGATTTCATAGATCAGCTTTTTAAAATGTTTTATTGATTATGCCATGACAGTTGTTCTATTCCCCCTTCATTCCCCTCCACCCTGCACACCCCTCCCCCACCATTCCCCCCCCTTTAGTTTATGACCACATATCTCAAGTTCTTTACATTCTGTATTTCCTATACTATTCTTGCCCTCCCCCCTATTTTCTACCTACTGTCTATGCTACTTATTCTCTGTACCTTCTCCCCAGTTCTCCTCCTCCCACTCCCCTGTTGATAACCCTTCATGTGATCTTCATTTCTATGGTTCTGCTCCTGATCTAGCTGTCCTCTTAGTTTGCTTTTGTTTTTGGTGTGGTTCTTAATAACTGTGAGTTTTCTGTCCTTTCACTGTTCATATTTTTTATCTTTTTCTTAGATAAGTCCCTTTGACATTTCATATAATAAGGGCTTGGTGATGAACTCCTTGAATATGATCTTATCTGAGAAGCACTTTATCTGCCCTTCCATTCTAAATGAAAACTTTGCTGGATAGAGCAATCTTGGTTTTAGGTCTTGGATGTAGGTCATGACTTGGAATACCTCTTTCCAGCCCCTTCTTGCCTGTAAGGTTTCTTTTGAGAAATCAGCTGATAGTCTGATGGGAACTCCTTTGTAGGTGACTATCCCATTATCTCTTGCTGCTTCTAGGATTCTCTCCTTCATTTGAATCTTGGCTAATGTGATTATGATGTGCCTTGGTGTTTTCCTTCTTGGGTCCAACTTCTTTGGGACTCTCTGAGCTTCCTGGATTTCCTGGAAGTCTATTTCCTTTGCCAGATTGGGGAAGTTCTCCTTTATTATTTGTTCAAATAAGATTTTCACTTGTGACTGTTCCTCTTC